AAACTCGCCTCAATAGCATTTGCTAAATTGGTAAATACCACCCCAAACTCAGTCAGCCTGTTGAAAAGAAAAACATTATTGGGCGTGAATCTCCGTGAATTTACATAGATTCCCAAATTATTAGGATTTTTTTACGTCACCAGCTTTGCAGAAACTTAATCAGTTTAATTCAGCAGTATAGTAAGTGTGTCTTTAAGTTAACACTTCACAGGACTTCAGATACAAGAGAGAATTTGAGGTACTTTATACTAACATTTTAGTTTATTAGTTCGTCTGTCGGACATGATTTTATATTGCACGGGTATGTAACAGACGTAATTTTTAAAGGAACGATGTCGCCTTTGTTGAGCAGTTCATTGAAAACTGAAAATTTGTTTTAAATATTTCCCTGCTAGCAAAGGTCTCTCACAACTCGTGAGATTTCTGCTAGCAGCCAACCAAATCGGATGTCTTGACTGTTATAGGTCCCTGGTTATAGGTAAGGACTAGTTCTTATCTCTGGTTCAGACGCCGTACTTTTCAGTTGGAGCTACACTGGCGGGACATCTGATTCAGACGGCGCACCGTTAGTTCGACCAAAGTTCGACAGATTCTCGGTCCCAACCACGTTCCCAGAGTTCTCTCTTCTGTCAAACTTAAGGCTTTTGCCGCACTAAACCAAAACTGCCGTACCAAATTGATTCAGACGCCGCTCTTTTCTCGTACTTAATTCATCAGTTAGGTTCGGCACACGAGTAGAGCGGCGTCTGAACCGGCCTTAAATCTACATTGACCAGCTATTCCATCACTGTATTCAGTTTGGGGAAATCACAAACAAAAGAAAACTTACAATTCTCGCGGTTATTGCTCGAACTAGTATCTTTATTTATCCTAAGAAAAAGTGACAATGTTCCTGATATTTTTAATGTTTATGTCTACAAAAAGTTCTGAATGCTACAACAAATATTTCCGCGTGCCATTTACAGTGTTGGATCGGCGTAAACTATTATTCTAATCACTTTACAATATGGTATGTCAACATTTTGCAGACAATAACTTAGGTAAATAAATGTCTCTTTCAGGCTGGATAAAATTTAAAGGTCCACACTGCGCAACACATTTGTTCCGCCAGTGAGGCCAATGTAGGAAGGCAATGAGTGAAACGCAGTCGATGGAGTTAAGCTCCCATAGTGATACTGTAGAGGTTCCATGGGTGCGGTTACTGAAAACGATGGGTTTGACCAAGACGGCTCTTGGTTTGACTTATGAATGTAGCACTGCAAGCAGGGGCGCTGTATAACGATGTGGTTCTCAGCTAAACTGCTCCATCCATTCAGACCCAAAATTGCATTGTTGCTGTGCACCGATTTACGCCTTGAAAAATCTCCGCGGCTAAATGCTACCACAAAACTGGGGTGAATGTGCCAATAACAGCCAGCGTTCCCCACTGCGATCCCTCCTCGCTGAAAGCATTCATGAAGAGACAAATTGTGGCGGACAGTGTTCTTCCAGCGTAATCTATGCTCAGTGAAGCTAGGATAGTTGTTCTGGATGAAACTGTATATCTCAGACAACGTGGCGCGCTTTTGGGGTGAGCTAAGGATGGCATAAGCAATTATTTCTATGTAAGAGAACGGAGACGAATTTCGCCTTTTTCTCTGCTTCTTTTTCTGGTTTTGATTGTTACACTGCCCTCTCTCGTCATCCTGTGATATGAAAAGACTTGTGCTGCAGTATTCCCTCTGCCCAGTCTGTTCTACCCTGTTCATGTTAATTCGATTTCTTTCCAGGACTTAATCGAGCTGAGAAAATGTACTAAGCTGAATTGTCTTGCAAAATCGCCTGTACTAAATGATGCTCTGCGGAGTTTTATATACAGTATCTTAAACCACAATATTTAACCCATTAATCAATATGGTATATTGTTCAGTTTTTGTCTTCTGTTCTTTGTTCTTTGTCACAACAAGGCCATGTACATGTGTAAAGTCTTGCTAAATAAATGATGGCTTCAATCGCCTTAAGCCATAAAGCACACGTCATAAACTTTTTTTTCAGTTTTTTTTTTTCTTTTTTTAATACTGCTTTAATTGTTGCGGGCTAAGCTTTACGTTCCTTCTTAGAAGATGGTGTACATTCAGGTAAAAGACCGTTGATGTTACAACCGACAAAATCAGCTGTTAAATAATGTCGAATATCTTGTTTTGTAGGTCGCCTTCACCCTTGCCTTTACCCTTTAACAGGTGTTCGCCGAACACGCCGTCACTTGACAAATTACTTCCTCTTTTCTCTCTTGCGGTTTTGCACTGTAATGGACATAACTGCAAAATGACTATAAGGGACGGACCATTAGAAAACCAAAACAAATATTCCCGCAAGGGAAAATGAAATGAAAAAAATTTCGTGCACGCCAATTAGCCCTAAAAAATATTCATGCTATGGGCTAAAAAAAATTCATACAAGGAATTTGATAACGAAAAAAAATTCCTGCGGCTCGAAAATTCCTCTCCCCCCCGCCCCCATA